AAGTTGATGCGTCAGAAAGCATATTCAAGAGCGAGACAATCCAAGGGTCTTTCCGCTGTTCGGATGACATGTCTGTGACGCTGACGGCAGAGAGGGGAAGGTCAAGGGCTGATAATTCCGTATCATCAGATTTCATGGGTGATCGTGAAAGCGCATCTGTGTCAGAGTGCTTTCGCCCCGATCGGTAGACGACGCGTATGCCGAATTCCCGGAGGCGTAGTGCCCAACGTCCGAGGCGACCAGGAGGATATTTCAGTGAAGCCAACCAACACAATGCGTGATGGTCAGTTACCACTTCAAAAGTTTGGTCGTACAAATAGGGGCGAAACTTGTTTAACGCCCACACAATCGCCAGGCACTCTTTTTTTCCGTAACAGAATAGTTGGCTTCTGCCTTAGTGAGGGCGTGGCTAGCGTAGGCGACCACATACTCCGTAAAACCTGGTTTGCGTTGCGTGAGTACTGCACCAAGGCCGACGCCACTTGCATCCGTGTGTACTTCAGTCGGCACAGTAGGGTCGTAATGACGCAGTATGGGTGGTGAGGTAAGGAGTTGGCGTAGTGATGCGAAGGATTCGTCACAGGCTGCTGTTCAATTCGAAAGATCTGCAGGGCCAGCAAGGAGTTCGGTGAGCGGAGCGAGGATGCAAGCAAAGTTCCGGACAAACCAACGAAAATAGGAGCACAGACCTACAAAGCTCCGTAGTTCTTTAACTGCAGTCGGCTTAGGAAATTTGGCTACAGCACGAAGCTTGTAAAGGTCGGGAAGTATGCCGGCTTTCGAGACGACATGACCAAGTATGCTGAGTTGTTTAGCCCCGAAGTGACAATTCTTGAGGTTATGCTGAAGCCTGGCGTTTGTGAGGCACTGCAGAATTTCACGCAGATGAGGGAGATGCGAAGTGAAATCGGGTGAAAAGACCACAACATCATCAAGAAAGCAAAAGCATATGTTGCACTTGAGACTGGGTAAAATGCTGTCCATCATTCGTTCGAATGTGGCGGGCGCATTGCAGAGCCCGAATGTCATTACGGTAAATTCATAGAGACCATCCAGTGTTACGAACGCCGTTTTTGGATGGTCAGGCTCGGCCATTTGGACCTGCCAATAACCTGAGCGAAGGTCAAGCGAGGAAAAGAATTCTGCACCTTGGAGACAATAAAGAGCGTCGTCTATGCGGGGAAGAGGGTAAACATCTTTCCTCGTAATGTTGTTTAGGCGCCTGTAGTCTACGCAGAACCGGATCGAACCATTCTTTTTTTGACGAGCACAACTGGTGAAGACCAAGGACTACAAGAAGGCTTGATGACTCCACACTGTAGCATGTCGTCTACTTGTTCTGCAATTATGCGATGCTCCGCCGGGGACACACGATAGGGGCTCTGGCGCAAAGGAGTTCTCTTCCCTGTGTCAATTGTGTGCAAAACGGTGTTCGTTCTTTCTAGCACCACTTGGGGAAAGTCAAACGAATGCCCGAATTCGCGCAACAGGGTAACAAGCTGCTCTCGTTGAGCCGGAGCCAGATGGCTGTCAATAGAACGGTGAAATGCATCGGACGACACGCTGTTCGAGGCAAAGTGAGAAACCAACGCGTTCAGCTCCACATTCGGCTCGGTGTCGAAGAAACCAGCAGGCACGATAGTACCTTCATCGATAAGCTGAATGTGGCTGAACGTCTCGTTGCGGCGCAAACTGAGGGGGCACGAGTTCGGATTGGAAATAAATATTCCGGTAGTGTCTAGACAAAGCGCAGGAACGGCGAATGGCAGCGATGTGTGGTGGCGGCTACCGAAGATGTCAGATGGCGTGAATAGGACGGTAGCGTCAGAAAGTGAAGTGCAGCAGGCAGGGACAAACTGAGCGCTGAAAGGAGGAAGGTCCATGTCCGTCACGACGACAAGGTTAGCCACACTGCATACGGCCGCATCAACAGAAGGCGCATCACGAAACGTTACCAGCTCGAATTTGGCTCGAGCGCAGTCCACGATGGCATGATGACGTGATAAGAAATTCCATCCTAGGATGACATCGTGGGAACATGAAGCCAACACGTGAAATTCAATGATGTACAACACGTCTCGAATAACCACTTTTGCTGTACATGCCGCGACGGGCTCAATTTGTTGGGCACTCGCTGTGCTAAGATAAACTACAGGAGAAAGCATCGTCGTTTTACGAAGAGAGTGGCAGAGTGTTTGACTAATCACAGATATTGTGGCACCGGTATCGATAAGTGCAAGTGTTCGTACACCTTCAACGATTACATTGATAACATTGGCGGGAGACAGGCGAGGACTTCAACGATTAGACGATGACGCAGCTCGTGCCTCCGGAGCGGCGGCAGTTAGTTTTTTGTCTCAATGGAGGTGTGTCGTCGACGCATAGGCGACACAAAACGACAAATTGTTGAAGGGGAAGGCGAGCGCCAAGTAGAACGTAGAAAAGCGGAGGTTCGGGTGCCGGAAGCAGCTTGCGCATCGCGTTCGTGAACTTCAGGTGGCACGTGAGGGGCGTGGTATGGAGGCCGAAACGTGTAGTTAGGGTATCTTGGTGCATTAACTGCGAAGCACCGACGACACAGACGTGCAACGTGACGTGGAATACCACAAAAGTAACTTATCAGCCGGTTGTCAGCAGTGCGCCAAAGATTTCCGGCGTGCTGCTGTGTAGCTGAAAACGGCGCGGTGGAAGGTCGCACAGGTTGTGGCGTATACAATGGCAGACGAGGCGGAGGCATTGCCGCGACGGCCGCATAAGTCAGTGGCGCGGCAACAGGTGTTGGTGGAGAAGCAGGCGTAGGTAATGGAAACGCCTTGGAGACCTGCTCCTGAATAGTCTGATTGTCGGCGTTAGGCGGTTCGTTGGTGCTTCGGTGGTCGGCAGATACGAGAGACACGAAAGCTGTCGTGCGACCTCTTCGCGTACATATTCTTTTATCTGCTCCAGCAGGATGCTGTCACCACGGATGACCAGGGCAGCGAGAGAGTCGTCTGCTGTCGTCGAGCTCCGAACTGATGCACGTTGCTTGCAAGTCTATTTCAAGCTCTGGAGCAAGGTCACAAGTTCGGATACGGTACTTGGGCCCTTTGCCAGCAACATTTGAAAGGCATCATCGTCTATTCCTTTCAAGATGTGCCTGATCTTGTCTTGTTCAGTCATCTCAGAGTTAAAGCGCCGGCATAAATAGATAGCATCTTCAATATGTCTAGTGAAGTTGTCGCCCTGCCTTGGTGCTCGTCCGCGTAGGCGCTGTTCAGCTCGCAGCTTGCGCACTGCGGGGCGGTCAAACGCCGCTGCAAGGGTGGTCTTGAAAGCGGCCCAAGTGGTAAATTTATTACGGTGGTTTGTGAACCACAGACTGGTGACGTCTTTGAGATAAAATGAGACCTACTACTATTTCGAGGGGCCGTCCCACTTGTTTGCGGCGCTCACCTTTTCGAACAGCTGCAACCAGTCTTCCACATCTTGGTCCTCGGTGCCGCTGAAGAAGGGGGGATCCCATTGGCGCAGGGTGGTAGGTACGATGACCAGTTGAGATTGGGTCGTGCTTTGCATTGTAGTACCTTGTAATCTTGCTCGGTCGTCTGATCAGGCATTGCCGATGCAGTGGGCAGCTTCTGGCTTTGAAGTTCCAGGTTTGCGTACCCAGAACTACTTTGCAATGGAGTTTAATAGCGACGCCAGGTAGTAGGCAGGCAGCGGGTACGAACAGAAATGCTCGAGCAGTCCAGCGTCTACAGCTCGTGCACACACTCGCGTTTGGCACATAAGAGGGATGGTCTCACTAGTCAGTGCTTTGCGAATCCCCCACTACAATATGTTCAATCGTTGGTACCTTTCTGCTATCTTAAACATCATTTTTTTTTGCTTTTTGCCATGGGTAAAAGTCACCGATGTCGTTGTTTTGGGATATTTGCTTCCCCTTCTAAAATAGCTGAAACCTTCCGATCGTAGCCGCTGCTGTCCAACACAACCATCGAATTGCCAACCCCACCGTCATATTGGAGAGCGGGGACTACGATCGGAGGGTTTCAGTTCTTTTAGAAGGGGACGCATGCACGCAGCTGGTAAGGGCCCACCGAAGCAAACCCAGACAGAACTAAACAAGCTACTCGCGGAACTTTTCTACCATTACCCGGATCTCAGAACACTTTACCTGCGACTAATCTGCCGTAACGGATCGGCACCGCGTTTCTATGGACTACAGAAAATTCACAAGCCTGACGTTCCCCACCTACCGATTGTAGACTTCACTTCCTCCCCATGCCGAGCCCTTTCAAATTTTCCACACCGAATCTTAGCTCCCTAACCAGGAAGACACCAACTCATGTCCATGACTTCAGCCACTTCGTGCAGCTAGTGTCAGATGTGTGCATCGACGTTGACGAGAGCATGGTCTCATTTGACGTCATTTCATTGTTCACCAATGTGCCAGTGCCCTTAGCTGCCTACCCTGCCCGTAATGCCCTTGAGGGGTACGCAAGCCTGAGTGAAAGGACTTCTTTGGCGGTTGACGAGCTTTGCCGTCTACTAGAGTTCTGCCTGTCCAGTACTTACTTCTCCTACAAAGGAACCATTTTCAGCCAGAACAGTGGAACCGTTATGGGAGCTTCCATCTCCGTTACGATGGCAAACCTGATTATAGAGTACATAGAAGAAAAAGCACACAGCTCCTTTTCGCTGCGACCCAAGTTTTTTCTCCGTTATACGGATGTGGTGTTTGCGAAAGACGTAAGAAGCACCGGCAGCACCACCGTACAAAAAGACGTTTATTGTACGCAACACATCGAATATATACATAAAAGACAGATGCACCCCCAGGGGTTAAAGAACACAAAGTAAAAACTGAAACTGAATATAACATACTCCCTCCCTTATATGTAGTGATTAGTTGTTAGTAAGTGTTAGTAAGAAACCCCTATGCATACACTGTACATTTTACACGCTGTATACACATACATATTTACACTACATACACACTGTGCTATACACACAGGATACTAGTGGGTCTGATAGTCCTTGAGCCAGACCGGTGGCCGGCGCTCTCGGGACGGCCGACGGAGATGCTGCACGGCCGGAGATGGTAATGAGCTTGTAGAGCTCTGTAGTACGCCAGGAGACCGCGATTGCGGCCCAGGAGAAGGCGGCTGCAGCATGGCAGGCTCCGGTACAGGCAGCTGCGGATCAGGAGCAGGCGACTGCGGTACGGCAGACTGCAGTACGCCCGGAGGCGGCGGCTGCGACCCGGGAGAAGGCGGCGGCGGCAGGGCAGGCTGCGGCACTTGAACCGGAAGCTGTGGCGCAGGTAGCTCCGAACGTTGGTATGGTGGACTCGTGCCCCTCTCAGGAAACCGGGAAAGCTTGGAGGCGTTCCGTGTGCGGCCGTCTGCAAGTCGGAAAGAGGCAGGTCCCCTCTTCCCCAACACCTCAGTTGGAGAGCAAAAAGAGCGATTCCCCTTGAAGCGAACGGACGGCTTCTTGATACGAGCGAAATCACCCACAGCTATCTTTGGCTTCTTAGCAGCTCTCCTGCGGTCCGTGTACTCCTTACTGCTTTGCTGTTGAAGCCGGACCCTTTGGCGCAGTCGCGCCAGTTCCTTTGCTGGGTCTTTTGCAAACGCTGGTGCCGAAAACCCTACAACGTCCAATCTGGTTCGGGGCATTCGCCCATGCAGCAGAACTGCTGGGACAACTCCAGTGGTAGCCTGTGGAGTACAGCGGTAAATAGAGAGGTAGTCCGTAACTGCTTGTCGGATCGGTCTCCTTTCGAGGAGTGAAACCTGGATGAAGTTCTTCAGAGTTCGATTGAACCTCTCGACTTGCCCATTCGCCTGGGGGTAATATACAGACGAATGAGACAGCTTGATGGCTCGGTTTTGAAGAAAGGTTACAAATTCACGTGAAGTGAACTGCGGCCCATTGTCGCAAACAATCTCTTCCGGGTATCCTTCACGGGCAAAAACACTGGTTAAGAAGTCTTTCACGGTGCTTGTGGCCACTTCGCTGCAGAAATATATCTCTGGCCATTTGGAATGGTAATCGACCAGTGTTATAGCAAATTGGCTATTGTGAGGTGCATGTTCCAATGGGCCAACAATGTCTAGGCCCAGTTTCTGCCATGGCCTTTCAGGCCAGTCAATAGGCTGCAATGGCGCTGGTGATGTTTTGGCAGACTTATCTGCCTCCAGGCAGATGTGACAGTTTTTCACGGCGGATTCAGTTTGCTTGTCCATCCGTGGCCACCAGAATAGCTCACAAAGTCGCGCCTTTGTGCGAGTGATGCCCGAATGTGCCTCGTGGGCATCGGCGATGAACTGAGCCGTGAGTGAGGACGGAACAACAAGGCGTTCTGCGCGCAGTAGAAGGTCATCAACAACAGAAAGTTCTTCGCGCACAGAGTAGAAAGGTTTTGCCTCCTCTGGTATGGACTTTTGTGGTGGCCAAGAACCGAGCACGAACGACTTGACCGTTTGCAGAAAACCATCGTTGAGGATGGCTTGCTTGAATTCTTCCTTCGTCACGCAAGCCGACTCGACACAATTTCTTCATCCTTGGCCAGCTGTGCCTGCGCGGCAGGAGCTGGCAGCCGAGAAAGAGCATCTGCCACCGTGTTGGTGGACCCCTTGCAGTACTCGACAGTGAAATTGTAGCATAGGAGTCGCGCATTCCAGCGTGCAATTCGAAGTGGCCTTCTGCCACGTCCTTGCGAAGACAGCAACGATACCAACGCCTGATGGTCCGTTCGAATCTTGAAATGGCGACCCCAAAGTTAAGTGTGCCATCGTTCGCACGCCCAAATGCATGCCAACGCTTCGCGTTCGCCGACCGAGTACTTTCTTTCCGCTGGTGACAAGTACGACACGCGAAAGCCACTGTGTGGAGCTCATGGCCGTTTTGCTGCTGCAGAACTGCTCCCAGCCCACAGTCAGAAGCGTCGGTCGACACGATGACTGGAAGTGGCGGATCGAACATGTGGAGAACTGTACTTGGAGAAAGCATTTCCTTGACCCTCCGGAAACTGCTGTCTGCTTCGGCTGACCAGATGAATGGCTCATTCTTGCGAAGCAAAACGCGCATAGGCTCGACCACCTGGGCCAAGCGGGGAACAAACTTGGAATAGTATTCTACAAGACCCAGGAATGAACGGAGGGCAGCAACATCTGTTGGCACTGGAGTGTTAACTACCAAGTCTACTTTCTCTGGAAGCGGCGAGATACTTTGTGCAGTGACCTTATGCCCTAGGAAAGAAAGTTCTGGAACGTCGAAGAGGCATTTGTCGTTCAATTTCAGGCCGGCGTGCTTGATGTTCTGCAAGACCTTTGTTAGGTTCAAAAGATGTTCTGCACTTTTCCCAAAGACTATGACGTCATCAATGTAGAACAACACACTAGGGCAGCCATCCAGAATTGTGGCCATCATCTTATGAAATGCCGCTGGGGCAGAAGCTAACCCAAAGCAAACTCTCTTGAACCGAAAAAGTCCTTCATGCGTGATGAAGGCTGTCAGGTCCCTGCTGTCAGGGTGCAAAAGAACCTGATGGTAGGCAGAAGCCAAGTCAAGTTTTGAGAAGTGTGTCGCGCCTACCAAGGCATGAAGGAGTTCCTCTGTATAAGGCAACGGGAAGCTGTCTGGTACAATAACCTTGTAAGGCTCCCGGAGGTCAACACAAAATCTGATGGTGCCGTCTTTCTTGTCAACGACAACAAGGGCGAAACCCATTCAGAAGCATCGATGCGTTCGATGATGTCAAGGCTCAGCAACCTGTGAAGTTCATTTGACACTGGTTCCCGAAGTGAATATGGAAGACGGCGCAGCTTCGAAGATACCGGCTGCACGCCTTGCCGAATCTTGACACGATGCGTGAACCACTTAGCAAGACCCAACTCGGGACTGAAAAGTGAACCGAAGTCGTGTTCCAAGGCTGGCGGAAGGTTTGCTTGCCTGGGTTGCTCTATTGACTGCATCGAAATGTGACAAGATGTCGGGTCATTAACACGCGGCGGCGGGGCAACGGACGTGTGCAGGCACTCAAGAGTGGAGCCCTGTATTCGAAGATTAAGGGCCTTAATGCCGTCAAGGCCTATCAGACAAGTTCTTTGGCGAACGATGTAGAAAAGAAGTGGTGCAGAGTTAAGCCCTTTAAACTGAACGTCTGCCTGGAAACAGCCTAGCACGGAAATTGGCCCCTTCAAATAGTCAAACAAAGTGACATGCGGGGCTGGGAGGAGCAAACTGCTTTGAAAATGGTGAAATTCTTGCTCTGATAGAATTGAAACAGACGACCCTGAGTCAACAAGGAATGACAACTTGACATCCGCTACGCGTACTTGTATGTAAATTGCGCTGCGAGCTGGATGCTGCACAGTCAAAACTTGCTCAGAACTTCCCCCTGACAAAGCATCGTCATCGATGCCAACTTCACGAATCCTGCCTTGCATTTGACGCTTGCGGTTGGGATACTTTCTGAAAGTGGCCCTGGATACCGCAAAACAAACACTTCTTTCCCTGCGCAGGACACTGTGACGCTGATGCGCGGTGATTCCGCGAGCCGCATCGGAAACAGTGTGGTGAAACGGACCGGTTATCTCTGTCTCGCAGAGGGGGGCGTGGCCCCTGCGGCGCACGCGAACCGCTAGCGCTTGGCGAGTTTTGCTGAAAATGCTCTTTTGGCTGGAAATTGAATTTTCGCGAAGAATGCGAATACTGGGAACGACGCCGTACAGAAACAGGCTCGACCGAAGCAGAAAATTCCTTCAGCTCTTCAGCTGCTTGCTCAAACTGAAGAGCAATCCACACTGCGCTCTCGAACGAAAGGGAGGAACCCTCGAGCAGCAACCGTTCACGTACGCGGTTGGAAACAACGCCGGCAACAAATCGGTCCCGCGGAGCATCATCTTGTGAAGCGAACGAACAATGCGAAACGAGCTCCCGTAAAGCAGCAACAAAGTCATGAACGGACTCGCCTGCGTGTTGGCGGCGGCGGTGGAAACGATGACGCTCGACGACGACGTTACACGACGTGGAAAACTGCTGCCGTAAGGCGATGAGTGCAGCCTCGTACTCGTCAGTAGTGGCCGCGGGAGGCTTCTCTTGTACTTCCGGTGCTGCGGCGCTTGCTGGTGCTGCGGCATTTGACCCTGCAGGTAAAGTCCGGTAAACACGCTGCCCTTCCGCCCCCAAAAAATGCAGAAGAATGGCCTTGCGTCGCGCTGGTGGGAACTCAGCTGCTCCGGACGCTAGAAGGTAGACTGTTAAGGTCTGCTCCCACTCCTCCCATGGAAGTGACGGCCAGCCGGGCGTCGGGAGGAGCGGCGGCGGCGGAGCAAGGCCGGAGAAACTCATGGCGGGGCGGACCCGGACGACACTCGATGCTGAAGGTAGCTTGACATGTTTATCCCATCCTCGTCGCCAATGTGGTGTTTGCGAAAGACGTAAGAAGCACCGGCAGCACCACCGTACAAAAAGACGTTTATTGTACGCAACACATCGAATATATACATAAAGGACAGACGCGCTTCCTGGGGGTAAAAGAACACAAAGTAAAAACCAAAACTGAATATAACAACGGACCATTGCTTTTGCGTTATGAAGACGTCTGAAATCGAAAACTTTAGACAGCACCTAAATTCCGTGCACCCAGCCATACAATTCACGACTGAGTGTGAGAACGACCACTGCCGGCCCTTTCTCGACGTCCAGGTGGCAAGAAAGCGCAACGGCCCGGAGTTCTCCGTTCACAGGAAGCCAACGCACACTGGCCACTACCTTCAATTTGATTTTCCTACCCCACCTGCCTCAAGGTCTCGGTTCTACGGAGCAACGTAGAAGCGGCGTCTTCAAAGCACTCGCGGGGTGGATAATGACCCGCCCCTCTCTTTCTCGTTTTGCCGTGGAGCGCAGTTCATGAGTATACACTGGGAGAAGGGTTCCGAGAGAGCGGTTGATGTTAAGGACTGTCCTCTGTCTAAGAACAGAACAAAACAGAACAGAACAGAACAGAACACAAGGTTTTATTGTGCTAAATGAAGAAGAATATATGTGCATGATATACAGAAAGAGGTCCCATAGTCACAGACTGCAAGGGGACCTCTTGTACAATGTAGAATCGAGAATGATTGTGATGTACATAGCAGGGAGACAGAGCTACAGTAAAATGCAATTGAAACAAATAAAGTAAGAATATACCCTTGTAATCTCACAGAAACAATTTAAAAGCAAGAATAACGCGCTAACTTCAATGACAAGTAATTACAGAACGCAACTCACAATGAACAGGAATCAATTAAGAAACAGCAGAACAGGCTAGTTAGTTGACATGATATGATTATCTAACTTCGATTTAATTACCTTCAGGGAACGGCATACTTTAATGTCGGAAGGTAAACTATTCCGAAAAAAAATCGTGGAAAAATGAATGGTTTGTTTGCCATAATTGGTGCGAACTTTTGGCCGTAGAAAGTTATTGTTAAGGGCAAACCTTGTGACATTGTTATTTGAGAGAATGGTAGTAAAGTGTGGAAGTTGGTTATTTATAGTTCTATACATGTAAATACCAAGGTTATATTTAACTAGCTCAGATACAGTTAATATATTCTTTTCGTGAAGTAGTGACTTAGCGTTAGAGAGATATGGGCTTGACGTGAGAATTCTTATCGCTTGGTTTTGAATTGTCTGAACTGAAGTAAGATGAGTGGTGTATGTGTTACCCCATGAAGTAATACAGTAAGAAATGTGCGAATGAACAAAAAAATACAGTGACATAAGTATTGATGGATTGAAATAAAGACGAAATTTATTCAGTAGTCGAACGCCATACGTCATTTTTTTCTAATATATGCAACATGTCGGTGGTATTTCAAGTTACTGTCGAGTTCAACGCCTAGGAATATACAGCAGTTGCTCACAGGGATGTCATTGCGCGCAATTATGCTCTGATGACAAAGAGAACTTATGCTCGGAGAACTTATGCAAGAAGTTATGCTCCGATGACACGGAGCGAAAGAAAAAAAGAGGCCCACGTGATTGCGGACCACAGAAAGAACGAATACCCATAAAACTTCATTCGAGCCGCCACCCACCGTGTAGAGCAACAGAGGATACGAAAACCGCAATCAACAATAAATGGCAGCCCCCCCCCCCCTCGAAACGCCTACCGGTCTTATACGTTCAGAGAACCAGCAAAATGTTGGCACGGATCTTCAAGAAGGAAGGGGTTCACAGAGCACCGAACGAAGAAGATCGAATGAATCAGCGTCACACTTGTGGTAAAAGAAGCAGCCACCAAGGTTTCGAAGTAGTGGCGTGTGGGTTCCGGGAAGCAGCCTTTGGCCCCGAACCGGCAGCACTTCGCAACGACAGTTCCCGGTGCACCTGCTGCTCTTGAGCTTCTTAGCCGGAGCGCCCCGTCGTTGGTTTGGCAAGGCGGCACGGTGAGAACCGAAGACATGGTTATAGCCCTAAGCAGCGAAGTCTCACGGCGACCAGGTCACGAGGCAGAAACAAGCAAATTGCCAGGTGGATGCGAGCTGACTACCGTTAGACGTCTTTAACAACCTCCACGACTGAACATTTTGTAGTTCTTCTGAGTGGATACAGTAAGATGATCTACAAGCACGTGACAGTGCGTTAATGTAACCACAGATGAGCATAACAGCTACAGCTTCGTGAGAGCTAGACTTGTGTTTTTGTTTGTTCTGGTTTCCGATGCAGAAAAATGTATTTTGTGTATGTTTGTTTTACGAGAAGTTTGATGGTTAGGTTCATATTTGTGTTTGGTTTGTTTGTTTGTTGGGCCGCAACGCGGTCTCTCGGTTATTGCTCTCAATCCCCATTCCAGTTGGAAGTACTCCTGAAATAATCGTGACGCTGGCCTCACCTTGAAGGTAGCAAAGCGCCGCATCACGTACGAGGAGCTATTGTTCTTGAATGTCTTCATTAGCAAATCTGGAGTGCGTGAAGAACCCCGGCTCTCTGAAAACAGTCGCCATTGCTGCTTTCCCGACACTAAGCAACAAGAAAGCCGTAGGGTGACTTCTCTGCTTGTGCGCCTATTACAGACGCTTCAAGGCCTTCTCATGGATAACTGAGCCACTAACCCACCTCATGAGGACAGACGTTGATTTCACATGGGATACGGGGAACACGCTGATCGGAAATTCATACCGACATAAGCAGCGTAAGAATCAAGGCTGTTGAACGCTTATCTACTCTCGCTTCAAACATGACATGTCTGTTTTGTTTTTCTGTATAAGATCGCGCATCTCGTGTGCTGTCTAGGAAATGTAATGCGCCTTAAATTTGTGCAAGCCAGCCACGGTCTTATTGACTTCGCGACCTGTCACTTGTTCACGGATCACGGAACTGGTCAAAACTACGACTCTATAATTAAAGGTTTCTTTGGTATGTGTAAAAAGTGAATGTATACGTGTCTTGGAACTTATTATCTCTTCTCCTTCTGAACTCTCTTTATCTTCTCTGTATCTTCTCTTTTTTCCCTCACTGTCTTGAATTTGTGTTCATGCTCTAAATATATACTAAGCGTTGTGAATTATTATGGTCTGGGCGGGGATTGGGGCATTGTCAGGCATTTAGTTGCCTTTTCGCCCCTCCCTTCCCAATAAGCCATTGGATAAAGATGTATGATTCAATGATGAAAAAACTTCAACTTGAACTTCCTTTTGCAGGAGACTGAGTGGAAAGCGTTATTAGTTGTGCTAGCCGGTCACTATTAAAGCTAGGAGCCAGCCATTCTACAACATAAAATGAGTGCTTTGCCAACATATGGGCTAAGCCCAAGTGCAGCCCCTGCTTCTGCGGCAGGCGCTTCCAATCGGTAAGCCGTCAATACGCCTTGTGTTGGACAACTCGCTTGAAGGACGCTTCAGATAGCTTGGCGTGATCGAGCCTGAAATTTCCAGGTTACGATATTTTAATTTTTACACGTCCGGTAGAAACCACTCCTGCATCGATTGTCTACCTCATGCCACCTCGACCCACCACTCCCGACGGCCAGGATGAAGACTGCTGCTCGCTGAGCGACAGCGAGCCTACGCACAACTCAGGGACCTTGCGTGATACCTCGAGAGAAAGACCGCCGCTGCACCGGAGGTAATCAACCGGGGCACTTAAGCCGTTTTACAGCGAAAGCTGTTACAAAATGAGAACACGTGTCATAGGTCGGCACTTTGAGAGACTACTCACTCATACTCACTCACCACAATTTTTTTCAGCCTTCACACTCACTCACGTTCATACTCCCGTCTACTCCCACTTGTAGGCCCTCACTCACATTCATTTTCACGCGTACTCGCACTCATGAGTACTCACTAACGTTCATACTTCCTCCTTGTCATACTCAGAGTACTCACTCACGTTCATACTCACTCCTTCTCACACTCAAAGTACTCACTCACATTCATACTCACGCCTACTCACACTCACTCCTACTCACTCACGTTCATACTAACTGCTTCTCACACTCAAAGTACTTACGTTCATACTCACTCCTTGTCACACTCAGAATAGTTACTCACGTTCATACTCACTCCTACTCACACTCATGAGTACTCACTCACGTTCAAACTCACTTCTACTAACACTGAAAGTACTCATTCACGTTCATACTCTCTTACTCATACTCATAAGTACTCACTTATACTCATACTCAGAGTACTCAAGTTCATACTCACTCCTACTCACACTCATGAGTACTCCCTCACGTTCAAACTTACGCCAACTCACACTCTAGGCGCTCACTCACGTTCATACTCACGACTACTCACACTGATGAGTACTTACTCATTTCATACTCACGACTACTCACACTTGTGAGTACTTACTCATGTTCATACTCTCGAGTACTCACACTGATGAGTACTCACTCATGTTTATACTCACGCCTACTCACAGTCCCTCACGTTCATACTCACGCCTACTCACTGTCACTCACCATCATACTCACGCCTACTAACACTCATTGTTCATGGCTCACGTTCATACTCACGACTACTCACACTCTTAGAGAAACACGGACTGCTGGGCGAGTTGGTAATTCATTTTAATTGAGCTGCGCGAAAAATTGAAGTACAACAGGAAGATACCTCGAGACAGTGCGCCATGTCCAGGTGTCTCCTTTTTGTACTTCAATTTTCGTGCACCTCAATTAAGGCTCATAGTTACTCACTCCCCTTCATACTGACGCCTGCTCAAGATCATAGGCCCTCACTCACCTCCGCACTCACATAAGAATTCACCTTCACACTTACGCCTACCCATACTCGGGCGCACTCCCCCACGTACTTTTACATTCACATACTCATCATCATCACAGCAGGACAAAGGCC